CTGGATGCTGGAGCATTTTACAGGCATCTCTTCACTGCCCCTCCCAGTGAGGCTGTTCCTATCATTGCTCTCTTTACAGATGGGGGAACTGAGGCATTCTGGGGTAGCAGGGGCAGCTTCTGGAAGTAGGATCCATCTCCGCTAGCACCAGGAGAGGAGCCTGGTGACCTTGTCTTTGAGGCTGGGGCGGCCCCTGGAGGCCAAAGCAGGGGGTGCAGCCTGAGCCACAGGGGCCGGCCTGAGAGTCCCGGGCATCCCACAGGCTCTGGTCACGCCCCTGCTCACACACCCTCCACAGCTCTCATGATCCCTGTCATTTGGGGCAGGGGTTTGAAGTGAACTCTTGCTGGGTCACCACAGAGACCTCTGAGCACAAAATTCAGCCTCTTGTGTCAAACCCAGGCCCTGCCCCCAGTAGCCCCATGGCCTCAGTTTCCCTAGCGTGGGATGGAACTGACAACAGCCTCTGCGTCTTCTGGTCTTGGTGCAGTAGATGCTCAGTAACTGCAATCATGACCCTCAGTAACATGCGAGAGAGGGGCAGGGGTTGCAGCTGGGCTGTCCCAGGCAGCTCCAGTTCCCCTCCCTCAGCAACTGCCACCCCTCAGGGCTTTGCAGTGGTACTGGATGGGGGAGATTAAAACCCCCCAAAGCACCTAAATCAGGGGCTCAATTTCTCCACTTGGGTCTGAGGGCCTCCAGACTTCCCCTAGGGCTCTGGGGTGGCTGGTTCTGAAATGCCTCCTGGAGCCTCGGGAAACAAACATCTTTCCTAGGGTTTACTAGGGTTTGGGGCCTCACTGGAACTGGCAGGTGCAAGTGCAGGAGATTCAGGGGAGGGGGCGGGACCAGAATCGGGGGCGTGACAGAAGTCCCTAAGGGGTGGAGCCAGGGCTGGGGAGGGGCCAGATGAGGAGAAGGGCCATAGAAAGGGTCAAGAATCTGAGTGTCGCTCGGAGGTTCCAGGAAGTGGATGGGTCAGGTGAGAGGTAGGGTCCAGAAGGACCGAGAATACGTGGCTGCCTGGTCTCCTGATTCTGCCCCGTCCCAGGAGAGATGGCGAAATTAAACCAGAAGCTTTTGGGGACTTTGATGAACAGCCAACGTGGGGTGAATGAGGCCGCAGACCTCCCTTCCGCAGGACCACAGCTCTCCTCACCTCTCAACCCTCCCCAGGACTCACTTTGGTCCCGAAAATCCCCTTCGGCCAGGCAGGAGTAAGACTGAGGACCAGAGAGGGGCAGATCCTGGGTGGGGCTTGGTGATGCACCAAAGCAAGATTAACCGGAGCTATGCCCACAGCTGCCCCATCTCTATTCCAGAAGAGAACAAGGTGCCAGGCAGGAGAAACCAAAACGCCCTTGGGACCTCATGTGCTCCTATCCCTTGAACACTGGCTGGCCAGTGAGGAGGGAGCGACTAGAGGGAGAAGAAAGCTGGGGAGGGGAAAGTAGGGAACGCTGAGGGTCAGTGCGTGGGGAGAGCGGTTGTGGGGGAGCTGGATGGGAGCAGAGGTGAAGGAAGGGATAGAATAGTTAGCCTGGCAAAGAAGGGAAGAGGGTGCTCAGGCAGAAGGAACAGTCAATGCAAAGGCCCTGGGGTGGGGATGTGTTTATGGGAGGGGTAGTGAGGGGGCCAGTGAAGAGGGAACTGACGTCAAAGACAGACTTCCTATGGGAGGAAAAGGTAATTGGATTTTGAGGGGGAGGTGAAACCATGGCCTGGTAAGTAAACAGCCCTGGATTGCATTCAAGTTGTCAGATTGCCCCCTGGCAGCCCAGTGGAGAACAGGCAGGGAGATGGGACAGTCCACCCTCAAGTCTACCCTCTGGCCCTTACAGAGGCTCATAGAAATTGTGGCAGCCTGAGCCAGGCTGTCCTTGGTCAGACCACTGCCCTCCTGTCTTCCTGTCTCAGTGTCCCTCTTGGCAGAATGGGGGCAAGATAAACCTAGACTCGCTGGGAACATGTACACCATCCTCAGTAATTTGGGTCCTCTGTACTCACGTGATTCCCACCAAGTCTTAGGAGGCAGGAGCTACGTATATTTCCACTTCACAGGGGGAAAAACTGAGGCTCAGGGAGGACAGCTCATGGGAGGCAGAGGCAGGATTTGAACTTGGGCTCAGGCAGGGGTCCAGCCTCTCCTGACAGGTCTCCCTGGTGTGCAGAGGCCCTGGTAGGGCAGCTGGACCAGTGTTGGGAGAAGAGGCTTTCAGGGCCTGTGAGGGCTCCACGTGGATGTGCAGTGTAGGAGGCTGAGGAGTCCTGAATGTGGGGGAGATGGCCTGCACACACGTCCCCAGGGCTAGCTCCCGTGCCTCAGTTTCCCCAGTGCTCTGGTTGAGGGAGTCTAGCAAGGATAGCACTAACTCCCTCAAACTTCCCCTTGCTGATTTTGGTGTCCAATGGCGATTCTCGTGGAAATCAGTGCGATCTTGGGCCAGGATGAGGCCTGTCAGAACTGCTCCTGTGTGATTTACTTTAAAATTCAGGTCCTCAGGCTCCTCCAAGTTTGGATGTGCATTTTGAGACAGAAAGTGCCATCCAGGGGGAGGATATAACTCAGGTAGTAGAGGGCATGCTTAGCATGCGCAAGGTCCTGGGTTCAATCCCCAGTACCTCCTCTAAAAATAAATAAATGAATAAACCGAATTAACCCCCTCAAAAAAACAAAGATGTGTGGATCAGGGAGAATATTAGCAGCTCTCCCAACAAGACACCTGGCCAGAACTAGCAGTAGCCTCATCTGGGAGCTGGTAAAAATGCAGATTCTCAGGCCTGACCCAGCCCCGATGAACCGGAACTTGCCTTTAAGCCTCCCTCAGGGCAGCCCCCTTCACTTGAAAGGGATTGTCCTGTATCTGTTTGCTTAGAACCCTGCCCAAGTTATGGTGACTTTTGCATCAGTGAATCTGTGGACCCTAAGCAGACAGAGTGTGCCTTCCAGGGGCTCCTGACCATCTGAGTGGAGATGCCATTTCATGGAACCTGGGGGAGGGGGAGCTTAACCTCTCAGAGGTGGCCCAGGACCTGGATCCCCAGTCTGTCTCCCATCAAACAGGCTTACAAAAGCAGGACAAGTCTACGAATAGCAACATTAATGGCATGCAAAGGACATGCAAATCCCACACATATTTCATTCATATAAAGTAAGTCGTGCATAGTATATGCAAACGACAAACACATATGCAAATATGGGGGAGGGTGCCTGGGTCCAGGGTTGGGGGATGTCTGACATGTTGAGTATAATAGTAAACTTGGAGGTCTTACTTCCTGCCCAGAGCCCGGCCCTTTATATGGATCAGCCCTTGGACCCCACAGCTATAAGTTCATATCCTTGGGTCCCCAGCCCAGGAGAGGCAGGTCTCCAGGCTTCCAGCTCTGTACTCTCTGCAGAGCCACGGCGACCCCTGGTGGAAAGTGGTGGGGAAACAACGGCTGGACCTCTTGTTCCACTCTCACCCTCATCTTCTCCCTGTGCCCTGGTCTTCAGAGTTCTCTTTTGTGGGCCTCTTCTCTGATAAAAGCCCCGATCATGCACTTCCTCTGTGCTCCTGTAATCCTTAATAGCTCGATTACTTCAGTGTGGACACATTTTAGGCATTTTTTGAATAGTGCAATATGAAGTGTTAGTAGAGTGTGACTTTATGGGCAGCATTTGACCTAGGGAGTTTCCTAAAATGAAAACCCTCTTGGGGGGGAGGGTATAGCTCAAG